TTGCAAATTTGAAATCAAACAACACAGGATTATCTGAAAGCAGAGTTGATTTTGATGAGATGATCTCAAGTTTTCATACATTAGTGGTTGTGTTGCCAGGAGAAGGCACAATTTTGATGTAGCTTAAAAAATTTGATACTTTGCCATAAAAATGTAGATGTTAACCTTGTGGATTTCAGTATTCAAGGTAGTGAAGCGTATCACTGTATCTCAGGTTCAGTGAATCTGCTCCTCCAGGCTCCTGAAAAAGAGAAGCTGGAGGAGAAAATACCGTACGGGCAACTGAAGCTGAATGAGATAGGACTGAAATTGAAATACAGTAGCAGAGTCTACCTTTTCCAAAGAAACATTTAGTTGATACAGCAGAGATGGAGCATCACGGAGCAGTAAGGGGGAAAGAGCCCCAGTTTGGTTGGAAAGATCCAGACAGTTTGTATGAGAAGAAACAAAACCTGCAAACCTGAATTTGAGCTCTGATTTCTTTTTTCTTTTGATGAAAATGGTCTCATAAAGAAGATGCTTCCAGAGGAGACTAGAAGGATTAACTGAAACATAAGGGGAGGCAGGAGAGGCTAAGTGATCTCACAACTCGGTAGATGGCTTTGAAAAAAAACAGAAAGGTGGGAGCTGTGAGTTTTGAGGGTCACAAAACCCCATTACAATACAGACCATCGAGTTGCTCTACCGAGATATTTCAGAGAAACTATAGCCAGAAAGAACAGTGAAACTCTTGGATCTGACACCACAGCCAACCAAATCCTAAGAGGCACGTAATAGAATATATAAGCTTTTTGTAATATAAACTTTCAGAGTTTTCTCCAAAACTTGCTAACTCCCTTGGAACAGCCCTAAATTTTCAAAGATAAATAGCCGTCCTCCACAAAGAAAATTGAAAATCCTCATTCACAGCCACAGCCAGGAGAGACTTCAGCCAGATATGTGTGTGGTTAATAGGAAGAAAACTAGAAAATTCGACCAAAAGGAGAAAGATTTAAAAACCAAATTGAGTAAATATACATCCCAGGTCTCTGAATAAGAGAATCACTGTTGAATCGTGACTTCTCAATTAAAGAACCATTAGGGGAAAAGAAAAAGAAACACATCTTCTCCCTGTGGTTGTGATCTAGCCTAGGAAAGTCATTCTAAATGCAGAAAAAGCGGTCAGGGTGTGACTGAAAATAGCAGCTGTATTATAACCATTTAGCTCGACCATTTAGATGCATACCATTGAGGATCTGTCCCCTTAAATGCCTCACAGCTCTGAAATGCCTGTTGTGACAAACGTGTCAGGACACAGTATTTCCCTAAACTCTTATGTGTTCCTCACCTTCTAATTCACCTGGTGACCCGGGAGGAGGAAACTGATCCTAGACACCGTCCCCTCCCTTATCCGATTGAACTTGAAGCACTCCTGTCCACTGCTCGGCTGGCTGCAGCCATGGCCTCTTCCCCAGAGTGCCTCTCACATCAGTAAAAACTGATGGTTTTGCCTTTTTAGATAAAATTCATAATAAAAAATTTTTCAGTTATATGGTTAACTCATAGTCATTAAATAAACTTTTGGAAAAAAAGGAAAAATAGAAGAACAAATAACCTCGCTATCCAAAGGTTATCCCTCCTAACGTGTTAGTCCAGTCTTTTTCTGCCTTTAATTTGTGTGCTTATCTTTGATTAGATAATTTATTATTTTTTAAATTTTTTTCTATTGAAGAACAGTCGGTTTACAATGCTATGTTCATTTCTGGTGTACAGCGTAGTGATTCAGTTATACATATATATATTCCTTTTCATATTCTTTTTCATTCTATTCTTTCAACAAATATACATCAGAGGACTATTCTAGTTTCTGGGGCTATGACAGTGAACAGAAAAGAAAAGGCCTGCCCTCAGGAGCTTATATTCTTGAGAAGAAAGAGAAAAACGAAGTGTATATACTAGAGCACAAGGATGGTAAGTGCCGTGGAGAACGGGAGTGCAGGGAAGAGGAACGAAAGCACTGAAGTGGGAGCGCGTGGTGTTGTATGTGATGTGGCCGTGAGAGATCACTGGGAAAATGGCCTTTGAGCAAAGACCCGAAGTGGGGTGAGCAGGACCTGAGGCTGTCTGGAGGAAGAGGACTGCAGGCAGCAGAAACAGACAAGTGCTGAGATGCTGGGGAGACCAGAGAGTGGAAGCAGAACAAGGGAGGGAGGGAGGGAGCGAGCAGTAAAGAGCTGGAGAGATGGGTTTGGGGCCAGGAAACAACCGTAGAGACTCACTTGTACCCCGGGTCCCTGGAAGGCTGAGCAGGGGAGCCACAGTCTGGCTGTTTCAGTGTTGCTTTGAGTGCTCTGTAGAGAGCAGAATGCTGTGGAACAGGGTCGGGGGAGGTAAGTGGCACGTGATAAGGCTGTTGGGGGATCCAGATGAGAAATGGCGGGGGCTTAGGCCAGGGTGGAAGGACTATGATGTGGGTAGAGTCTGAATTTAAGGAGAAAGGGGTTTTTCCCTTAGAATCTTTGTAATTTTTAAATTTTCTTATTTGACAAGATGTATATAACTTACTGTTTATCATTTTAAATATACAGTTCACTGTTACTAAGTGCATAAAGTGGTGCAACCATCACCGCCATCCATCTTCAGAATTTTTTCATCTTCCCCATCTGAAACTCTGGACCCATTAAACAATAACTCCCCTTTACTGCTTCCCCCACGGCCCCTGGCTGCCAAGAGTCTACTTTGTGTCTCTGAATTTGATGACTCCAAGTACCTCTTGTGAGTGGAATCATATAGTATTTGTCCTTTAGTATCTGGCTTATTTCCCTTAGTATAATGTCCTCAGGGTTCATCTGTGCTGTAGCGTGTGTCAGAATCTCATTGCTTTTTGAGACTGGGTGATACCACGTTATATGTATGAGCCACATTTGATTTGTCCATTCGTCTGCTGATGATGTTTCCACCTTTTGGTCATTGTGAATAATACCGCTGTGAGCATTGATGCTGAGGATTTTTTTAAGCAGAGTGGATCAGATTTGCCAGTGGGTTGGAAGTGCAGTCTGAGAGAAGAGCAGGGAAAGCAAGAATAACTCCTGAGTTTTTTGGCCAGAGCCAAGCTGGAAGGATAAAATTTATACTTGCTGAGATGGGAAAGACTAGGATTTTATATTCTTCTTTTTATGTAACATAGCAAAATATTCATGCTGTGTAGTTAAGAAAAGTCTTCATTAATGCTGGTAGGAAGCCTTCCTTCTCTTCCTGCCCATTCTACATCCCTTCTCCTCCCTCTAAAAAAAATCGTTTCTTACAGTTATCATGCTTTCCCTGGATTTACCGAAATATTTCTGCTGATTCAAAAGGGGAATGGGGAAGGTAGTTTGACATACTTAGCTTTTAATGTGTATTGGTCAGCTTTTGTAACAGAAAAGACAGTGTACATTGGAAAACGATGGTTATGGAGTTGTATCAGGCCCCTCCACTCTCTCCCCAAATCACATAAATATCCAGTTATAACTGCTCCCAGGATAACTCCCCCACCAAACACAAAAAAAAAAAACCAAGCAGCATCTCAGGAGCATAGTCCCAAGGCTCTGATGTTCTTTGACTTTTAATATTTCTAAACACTAGGTTGTAAGGACTTATTTATTCAACAATTATTTATTGAACACCTGCTTGGTGGTTAAGCACTTGGGTTTTGAAATAAATCAAGAGCTGTTTCTTCTTCTTACAGGGATAATAGTCTGTAACTAGAAAATGGGTAACAGTTAACCACCGAAAGGGAAGCACAGAGTCACGTCAGCTAACCCAAGTCTAAGGAAGGAGGTGACCTCTGATGTGAACAAGAGTCCCAGAGACAAGCGCCCGAGCATGAGAGGAAGCTTGGGCACATTCCAGGAACTAAAGCACATTGTGTAGCTAGAGATGGGCTGGCTTGAGAGAGGAGATGGGGGAAGCCATCTGAAGTCAGGTAGGAAAGGTCATGAAGTCATATTAAGGATTTCTGTACTCTGTCCAGAGGGTGTACATGGTATGAAGCCATTCCAAGGGTTTAATTCAGAAACTGCTCAGATCCGATTTGCACACTGAAGACATCCCTCTGGCCGCAGTGTGGGGACTGGCTGGAAGCAGAGCACAGCCGGAGGCAGCGAGTCCACGCAGGAGGCTACCAGGAGGGCAGGCAGGATGTGGACCAGAATGGTGGCTGCAGGGCGAGCAGGAAGTAGGCAGGTCTGAAGACACTAAAGCGCAACAGAACCTGGTGATGTGTGGGGTGTGGTATAAAGAAATCGTTCAAGGACAGAGCCCAGCTTTCTGTCTCAGATGGTGGCGATGAAGTCAACTCGCTGAAGAGCCTGCAAAAAGAAGGAGCAGGTCTGGGAGGAAGATAGTGTGTGTTCGGTTGGGGATGTATTCAGTTTGAAGTGCCTGTGTGACATTCAGGTTCAGAGCTGGACAGTCTGTGTTTGAAACACAGGCAAGATATCTAAGCCACAGGGGAGACTATGACTGGTCCCCACGTAGGTAACAGAGACCACCAACCCTCCCAGGGAGTGTGTCCATGTGACGACGGGAGGTCCCTGAGAGAGTGTCGGGTATCCCACCTTCCCCATTACTCAGGACTCTTCCAGACAATCAGCTTCCTAATAATTACATTCTGTGAACAGCATCTTTAATAGCTTAGATAATATTCTCACATAGACCTACATTTACTTAAGCAGCCACATCGTTTTTTCCTGTTAGTTTTCACCAATGTCTTACTATTTTAATAAAACCACAATGCATATTTGCATTCCCCAAAATTAGTTCCATGGGATGTTAGTAAGCAGTATATGGGACGAAGTGTACCATGGTCGATAAATACATTTTGGAAACCTTGGTTTACAAAACTGTTCAGTAGGCTTCTCCATTGTGATGTCTCAGAGCCTTAATATGCTTCTCCGCCCTGTGACTCTCCAGGAGGGAGGAGGCTGCTGTGGTTGGTTTATACCGTTACTAAGTCTTGGGCTGTGACTCACTTCTGGGGGGAGTGCTTTCAGGACTAGTGACCACAGAACAGTTTCATGAGGTACTAACCTATGTGCAAAAGCTGTACGAAATTTCAACAGAGTTCTGGAAAGTGAATGGTTACGTTAATGGGAATGAATATTTGCGTTCCTGATGCACATGTCAATTACCTTTCCCAAAGGCGAGGACATTTCTGATGGGACTTGGAATTACTCCAGCTGTTTTGCCATACCTTTCTCCCCTCTGAAGTGTGATCATGAGTTATTTAAATCTGATGTATTTTGGTAATGTTTCTGTGACTACAGAGAGGCTCAACACCCTTCCGTGTCACTGACTGCTTGCTGCTGCTTTTGTGAATTTCCTTCTCAGGTCGTTTGCCCCTATCTATTGAGACCACAGCTATTCTTAGGAAAATAAGTGGTCTATTTTTATAATCAGATATTAACTCAGAATTTCACATACTTCTGGCAGCCATCTTCCCAGGTTCTTAGTTATCATTTCCTTTTTGGTTACATTCTTCTTGAACATGTGGAACGTCTACATTTTCATGAATCAGTTCTTCAAAGTGTTTCTTTTTATATGTTTTTCACTGTTTTTAAGCTTAGAAAATTCTTACGTAAAATTTTATCTAGACACTTAATAATCACTGCTTACTTTTTTGTTGTGATTAACATTAACTCTTAACCCCTTTTGTATTTGTACTAATTTATCTTGCTGCCCCCACTCCCAGGAAAAAAATTGAAGTTTTATAGCAGTGTTTTCTGAATGATTTTCCTTATTTCCAAGTTAATATATTGTGCCCTTACAGGGCTTAATAATTTTTATGAAAAAAAAATCATTTATCTCCATTCTCTAAATTAGCAAATTGAGACGAATTTATGAGTGTGCAGTTACTTGGTCAGTTTCAGTCCTGAGACGAGCATATACTGTG